TAATTAATTTGAATGGGATATTAAATTGTTTGACCTTTTAATTATTATTTGGATTTAGAACGGGTAACAAAATTCAATGATAAATAAATATTGATTTTGACGAAAATTTGTGATAAACTTTTATATTCTTATCAATTATAAGTCTGCAAGACAATGGTGAAACGAATTGGGCTTAAAGGGACATTGTTGAAAATTATTCGTCAAAAGGACATTTGTTAAAGAGACATCACCCACCTATCTGGTTTCAAATTTATTAATTTCTTAACTATATGTCAAATAATTTTTTTTATTGTTTAATTTTGAACCTAGTTTGTTTCCAAATTTTATCTATCTGTTGAAATTCTAGTAAATTTTTTTTTTCTATATTGTTGAAATCACCAAGCTTATTGTTCCCTATCTATGAAATTCACCAAGCCTATTTTCTAATATTGTTGAAATATCACCCAGTATATTTTCCCGATCTATTGAAATTCATCAAGCCTAATTTCTTATTTTAAAATTCACCAAGTCTATTTTCGTTATGTTGAAATTCACTAAAGTTATTTTTTTAATCTGTTGAAATTCTCTAAACATTTTTTTTCCTTCTATTGAAATTCAAGCAAAGAGAAAAGCAAAGCTCAAAAAAGCCACCAAAATCGTGATAGGTATGGCAAAAATGCAAGAAGAAAACAATCTTGATCTCCTTCTTCCATATAAAACAGAGACCGACTTCGGCCAGCTCAAAGACCTCACTCACCAATGTAGCGACTAGAGATTGCAGTTAAGAGGTACGACGAGAATGAGACAAAAATCGCTTTAGACGGCTAAAAAGAGATTGCGTTGGTGTGAGGTTCAGTGAAAAAGGAATGAAGTGAGAGCTGAGAGTTGAGGATGGAGTGTGAGAATAGAGTTTTCGAAAGCCATTGATAAGCAAGAGATAGAAAGAGGTGTTTGTGAATCTGAAGAGAGAGAAAGCCTCATCTTCTTCAAGTTCAAGGGAACTTTGATATTAGGATTCACTTATTGGGACCTAGATTTCAATCGAACCCATTCTCATCACAATGGATCAGAAAATAACGGAAGAGACTTTCAAACGATCATTAAAATTGGCACATGACAAAAAACTTAATATCAATTAATTGAACATGAAGAACACACAATGAGTGAACAATTTTATTTGTGTAGTCTTAAAGAAGTTATTGTCCCCTACGCTTGTGTTGGTTGCAGAGATTTGCAAAAAAGAGAAGAAAAGAAAAAAGGTGTGTGAATTAGGTGAAATATAGATAATATTTTATTCATATTTCACCTACCTTTTCCCTTTCTTTTCCAAATTCTCTTCCCAACATCTCAATCAAACATAACCTTAGGTTTGTAAAATTTTATTAATATCTTTGTCTCCATTCAGTCAAGCACAGAGAATGTAGGGTTTGGTGATTAACGACATAGTCATCAGACGGGGTGAGGCGAATGGATTGGCGGTAGATCTGCACAAAGGAATCAACACCGATGGTGGTGAAGAGACAAAGATGAAAAATAGAGAAGATGATTGGAGCAGTTGGAGAGAAAAAGGAGAGAAAATGAAAGTGCAGAAATGATCAATTTTAACAGATAGAAGATGGTTGAGACTGGTCTTTAAACTTAACGACTGTCCTTATAGATTGAATAGTTTAGACGCATAAAGTTTTTAGAACAAAAGATAATTTAAAGTTGAGACTTTGTGCCAAGCGCCCCATGATCTTTAAGCAAATATTTTAATTGAAGTTTTAGAGAAAAAATCTAGGGTAAATTACAAACACACCACCTTGAGATTTACTTAAATTACAAATTTATCCCATGTGGTTCTAGATAATTACATTATGCCTCCTAAAGTTCTAATTTTCATAACAAATAGGTCATTTTATTAATAAATCATCAAGTAATTAACAGTTTTTAATAATAATTAAAATTTTATTTTCATTAAATAATTCAGATAAATTTTAATTATTGTATAGTGTGAACAGTTAGAAAATTTCACTTTTCCAACTTTAATTATGTTAAATAAAAAATTCTGACAGAGAGGTATTTTGTAATTTTCCAAACCAAACAAGTGACAATCGTATTTTAAACAAATCTCATGAGGCGTATTTATAATTTTACCCCAAAAATCTATGTATTATATACTTTTTTGTCTTTTATATTTATTTGTATAACAAAAATAATATAAAATTAATAATAAATATTTTAAATGGCCAGACTCATAGGAATTAGCACCATAACTCCTTTTATCCCAAACTAAGTCGAATATATTGAATAGAATACAATAATCTCACCAAACTTGATATTATAGATAAAATAATTTTTTTAAGGGTAAATTACAAACCCCCTGAGGTTTATTTAAATTACAAATTACCTCCTGTGATTTTAAAAATTACATTATGCCTCCTAAGGTTTCTAATTTCATAACAAATAGGTTTTTTTATTAATAAATCATCAGGTTAATTAACAGTTTTTAATAATGTTAAAATTTTATTTCAATTAATAATTCAGATAATTTTATTATTTTGTAGGTGAACAGTTAAAATTTTCACTTTTTTCAATTAATTATGTTAAATAAAAATTCTAACAGGGAGGTATTTGTAATTTTCCAAACCACATGTAGCAATTCGTATTTTAAGCAAACCTCAGGGGGTGTATTTGTAATTTATCTTTTTTTTTTAAAGGGTGATTCTACTTACACTACTATTTAATCTCTTGACACCCTCCATCTCATTACACCGCTAAAAAAAATGTAATTCTCATTACACCTCTAATATATTACCAAAACTAACCCTAAATTAACTATTTCATCTCTTTATACCGCTAATTTTGGCAACACAGTGCTAAACAGTTTACATTATTCTGGTATTATGCTATCGAAAAAAATAGATCTCTTTAGCATTTTGTTGATATACATTTACAGAGACACCTTCTTCCAAACAATGATTTTTTAATTTGTGATGGGCCTGTTCGGTAATACAATACTAATTAATTTGAATTATTCCAGTGCCATGTTACCGGACAATATTTTTTTCCCCAGCATTATGTTGCTGTCCAATTAGATGATAATAATAAATTAATTTGGGCTACTTGTGAAGTACATGTTCAGTGATACATTGTTACACAAATGAGATTACCTTAGTGTCATGTTGCCAAACTACAATAGAGTTGTCTAGGCTCCTATCGCTGTATATTGAAAGATTTACTTTTTCCTCGAAGCATCCATAAAAAAATTCATAAATCAAACACGAATCCATAAAATCATACATAAAAAGTATTCATAAAAATTGTTCATAAAAACATCAAGTGTACGAATATCCATAAAGTATCCATAAAAACTATCATTGTTTGCATCCATCAATCAAACATATTATCACAATTCGTCTTGGTAATTTGTAAGTAATTTTTTCCCCTTTAATAGAAATAAATATCTACACTTTTTAAAACTTGTCAACCTTAATCGTTCCCCTTTGATCTTCCTGTTGTCTCTATAGTAACCACTTCTTTTACAAGCAAGTATAAGTCTTGGTTTTCTACCATTATTTCTCATATCTGATGTCTTTATAATAATGACAAATCCAATCTTCTTCCCAACGCCAGAAGCCCATTTAATTAATGTTTCATGACTACGAAAAATCTAAAGATAATAAATACATTTATACGTCAAATTATTAATAAAACTCAATACAAATTAAAAATAAGAAAAATCGTATTCATAAAAAAACTTAACAAACCTCGTCTGTAATGAATTCATGACTAGAGTCCACTAATATTGTAGTACTTGCATTGTTGCAATGAATATAAGTATAATTCTTTTAGGAAAAAAATAAAAAAAATAAAAAAAATGAAAATGAAAATACATGGTAATGAGAAGCTAAACAAATTTTAAAAATTCAGTTTGAGTTTACCGGAAATGTATCTTTTATTCGGTAGTTGGTTACCAGACTTATATTTTTTGTTCGGCAATGTGATGTCGGACTATTTTGTTTTGTTCGATTTCGAACCACCGAACGAAAGTCGAACGAAAGTCCAAAAAAACGAAACAAAAACCTACCAAATAAATAAATAAAAACTCATAATTTCACTTTTTTGACAGTTCTTCGTCACCGTTTCTTCATGTATTGCTTTATTTAATTATCAAAATACTATGATTCTCACTTTTTGAAAAGAGATGTGTAGGAGAAAAGAAAAATTAAGAAAGGAAAAATAGGAGTATGGATTGAAGACTAAGGGGTGTAAGGAGATAACAAAATATATTTAATTTTAGTGTTTTGTCCTTAAAGGTAATTTCGCATATGGATAAAATTGGGAGAAAAAAAAAAAACTCATATGAAAGGTATAAAGAGGTAAAGTAGTGGTGTGAGTAGAATCACCATTTTTAATATTTTGTCCTTAAAGGTAATTTCGCATATGGTTTGCAGCTGCGTTTGGGCATTTGATGAAAAAGCCAGACGTGGCTTTAGCCCTGTTTGGTAGAGTTGTGAGGAAGTGATTATAAATTATACCTTAACAGATTAAAGCTTACAACTGTGAGCATAAACTGGTAACTTGTTTGGTGTAGCTGTGAGATTATAGATTTAAGCAGCAGAGTAATGCTTGGTAAATAAGCTGTAAAATAGTTTTTTGCTGTGTAATTGTCATTTTTGCCCTTATGAATATAAAAACTGTAATTTTGTCATTTTCTTCACTTTAAATTTTGAAAAAGTTATTTTATTAATGGAAGTTGATTCTTATTATTTAGTACCTAATTTGGTACATTTTCCCATTAAACTCACCAAAAACTATTTTTCCAACACCCACCAACTCAAATGCAGTGTCCATCTGTTTAAGTTAGGGTGTGCATGGGTTGGAGCAAAGGGTTTAGGGAAAAAAAATAACAACAAAACTGTGATTCACAAAAACTAACTCAAATAACTTAATCAATCCCATTAAAATAAACAAGCTCATTCAACTTAATTCCACACAAAAAAAAAAAAAAAAAAGAAAGCTCATACAACCTTTAACCCTGTTCTTCAAATAAATTACCTTAATTCAAAAGACGAACTATCACCCAAGAGTAACAAGAAATTAAAGTCCAACATGAATAAAAAGAAATTAGCAGTACACACTCACAAGCAAACCATCCAAATTAAGCTCAAGAGAATCCAACCAATCATCTAAATTATACAATTAAATAGTCCAAGAAATCGACAATAAATAGCAACAACTGCTACATATGCAACATCCACTCATCCGAACTCCGAAGAACCACAATAGCTTTATCCAAACTCCAAGCTTCATCAATCTATAAATGTAAGCAAGAAAAAATTATTCAATAACAAAAAAAAAAAAATAGAAATAAAAATTGTGAACTGGTCTCTCTGTTGATGGTTAGAAATTTTTCGTGCACCAAATTCACTGGAAAGCTAAAACAAGTCAAAGGTGGGATTTTCTTGCGCTATAAAAATTGTGAACTGGTTTTGACAGAAATCTTTACTCTTTAGCATCTGCAGTCATTGTGACGATAAGTAAAAGATGACATCAAGAAAGATGCGAACATTTCTAACAATTTAGTTGTTCAAACAGGAGCATGCACAGTTAGTAATGCATGTGCAGTTGTGGAATCCCAAGGCCTGTCGCAAGGAATTATAACATATGCTTAGTACTTTTATTAAGATTATAGCTCCTCAATTAATGGCCTTGGAAAAATCAACAAAATATCCGAAGATGTTTAAGCTTCTCTGCATTGTGAAGATTTTAAAAATCAAGTTTCTGAGCAGGTTCTTATGCATTGAAGAGTAGCAGGTTCTGATATATTGAAGAGCGATTCTTATTTTCAGTATAAATGACCATTCCAGTTTTGAGGATTTGGTGGAAATGGCTAAAATGGCATGAACAAAACTTTTTTTTATGGCCAATGACACTATATATATATCATACAAAAAGATCATCTCTTTAAAACAAAAAGAATTAGAAGCCACAAGTATTGTGATAGCCTACTTTTAATCAAGTAACTATTGGCTAGCATATTTGATGAGAGAGCAAGCCTCCCCAAAGAAATCATAAATATTGGGCACTTCCTAATTGTGTGCAATGTCAGAAATAAATGGTAACTGTACGGAGAGCAAATATTCCGGCGTGCCCGTATTCCTTTCTTCCGAGTTCCGTCGATATCCGATCACCTGCGAGCAAATGACGGTGAGCTACCCGGCGGTGTGTGGCCGAAAAACACCCTCCGACGGTCAAATTAGCACACACCTTAGAGGGAATAGAGAGAAGGGAGAGAGTGTTTGAGTGTAAGGATTTTCTTACAGAGATGTTCGCCTGTTTCGTATGGGGGGCGCAGTCATGCTTTTATACCTTCTGAGCCCCATATCCACTCCCTGTCATCTCCTGACACGTGGCTCTGCTATCCCATCTGTCAGCATAAACCATGCCATTCATCACCTGCTCTCAACTGCCTGTCAGCACAGCTGGAGCTCGGCAGCCGAGCTGCCCTACCTCGGTCGTACCATGCTTCATACCTTAAGCGCCTAACCGGATAAACAAATGAAGGACCGGGCTAGGCGGCATCTCGGCAAAGCCTAGCCCGGGCTCCTCCTTTGGTCGGCCTTCTCGCCGGTCAATCAACTACCTCGGCTGACCGCGCCTTTCCGAGCGCCGGTCTCTCGGTCTGTCTGGTTTCGACCATCCTCGGACCGAGCATCCTGGTCTGACCGGTCACTTCCTAGCCGAGCAGCTTCTGCACGGTCCGGGGCAGCACACACTCAGTCCAAACTCTGCCCGGCCCAAGTTCTGGTAGCCCTCCTACGGGTGAACAGTCGATCATCTCGGCCCATTGCTCTGCTGGGCCCTCAACTTGCTCGGTCTATACCTCGGCCCAACACCGGATCATAAATCACCATCTCAGTAACTGAAGTCTCTTTAAATGGAACAATGATAACATGACATTAAAAGTGTTTAAGAGCATAGAAATTCAAGAATTAGATATTCATATTCTATGAATTCATAAACATGCAATTAAATTATGGGTCTTTAACATTTCTGTAAATCTATCAAGTAAACTGATTCAATAACCAATTCATTTTGCACCCTTTTATAGTTCATTTGTTAATTTTATTTTTTATTTTTTTTAAATGGTTCTCCTAGTTTTTTCCACAGTAATCACAGGTTAAACTATAACAGTACACATGCATTCACATGTTCACACTTGCATAACATAATATATGTGTATATATGCAGCAAATATCAAACTTGTAATACCATAAATCCAAATCTGAATAGAAGATGAAAGAATCTATGCAATACCCATGAACAGAACCAAGAAATTCAGAAGTAGAAACATTTATATACACAAAAACAACCCAATAGACCTAGCCAAACCCAGTAGCTTTGGCTTCTTCAAATGAAACATCCTATCATCTTGATCCTCCAAACTCTCTTTGTACACTCTCTTCTCCACTCTCCTGCCTCTAGAACTTTCCATTCTTAGAAAAACTAACCCACCTCCCTAGATATAGTTTTCTTTCTAGATTAAGTAAGAAAACCAAAGATTTGTTTGAAATTTCAAAAACCCAGTTCAGAAAAACAACTAAATAATAACAAAGAAAGACTACTTTTCAAAATTGGGATGACTCTTATTCCAGGGAAAAAAAGTGGAGGGGTAGTGATTTGAATATTTTGAAGGAAAAAGATAGATCTTTAGCTCATTTTGGGATATATATATATAGATCTGATAACAAGAAGGCAATAATCTAGAAATAGATAAAGGAACTAACTGAATAATAAAATATACTTAAAGAGAACCCATGCCTAACAGGGAATTAATCTTCCTCAAAGATTCAAATCTAGCTTGTAGTGGAGCTACGTACGAGTTTCAGTAAGACTTTGAATAGTTTTGTTTTGGAAAAAAGAACCCCGACCCCCTACTATTTAGAATCAGCCCCAAACTCTTGCAAGCATCAATTTTTAGACCTACGAAAAAGGTTCGATCCGTGATGAAAAAGGGTGAATACCGAAGAACATAAAGCCCCTAGATTTTTTGTCCTACAAAAAAGGATAAACCCCCAGAACTCGCACACCATTTCACAACCCAAAAAAAAAAAAAAAACCCTAAATCAATGTGTGTGTATATATATATAACATACAAAGGGCATGAAATCTTACCTTTTTTGTGGAGATCAACGGAAAATAGAGGGCTAAACTGAACGATCGACTGCGATCTTCCTGATGTGGAAGAGTCGTCGTTGGTCACCGAAATGAGAAAGAAAGCAGAAAGAAAAGTAGTGTGTGAGGAGAGGAGCTTAGGGCAACTACGAAGAGGGTTTATATCATGACAGTTTCGTAATTTCCTTAATTTTAGAGGGGCAATTAAGTCATTTTAGCCTTCCATACCAACTGCCCGCATAAGTTGAATTTTTTAAGCACCCCTAGAGCAGCTTTGGAAAATAAGCTAAAAATAGCTTAACTTAAGCTATAATCTGTTGAGTTAAGTTATACCAAACACAATATTTTAGCTTAAATTAAGCTAAGCAGCTTTTAAGTTGTGCCAAACAGGCACTTTTTTGTTCTAAAACCTATTTGGGAAGCTGGATAAACGCCATATTGCAATTTACGAATATACCCTCAATTTACTTAGGGTTTGCTGAGATAAAACACTTCTCCATTTTGCATCTCACGCCTCTTGTTCTTCTCTCCCTCTTAGATTGTCTTCGCACCGTTGCTGTGGAGGTCGCAGAAAACTCATTTCTAGTGTCGGCCATTGACATCGCTACCGACTTCCCTCTACCAGCTCGTCTTCCTTGGTTGATCTACATAATCATGTAAGCCTTTCCCCTCCGTCGGTGTTCTGCTACCAGTGATTTACAACCCATTGTTTGGAAACTGTTAAATTGCAAATAGATCTGTTAGTTTTCAGCTGCGTTTATGACATTACAAGTGTTATTTGGCTTTCCGATTGCTATCTGCTACTCTTTCTTTTTTTTTTTTTTTTTGGATTTTTAGGGTAAACAGTTGTCTGATTGCCATCTTTCCACCCAATGTGTGCTCTTTTTTTTTTTTTTTTTAACTACTTTTGCTGGCCTTTTTTGCTATGAACAAAATTTGCTGGAAATTTATTAGGGGTGCTCTTAATCTTGCGACATATGGAAATCCTTTTCATATTAGCTATTTCTGCTTGTGAACAACAAAAACAATAAGTCATTAACTTGAATCACAGCATACATGGTTGCATTTATGGATTATACCAAAAAGCCGTCAATATGGCCTATTGGGTATTTATAGCCATTGAATTGAATCCTCAACCATAAGAAAAACAGAGTTAATTATTGTAGTTTTTCTTTCTTTTGTAGATGATGCAAATCAAATTTTATATTCTTCTTTATTAGTTTCACATTGTTTAAATTCACAATTTTGTATGTGTCTCGACCATTGAATGCTCTCCAAAGCTTTTGAGTTTCGAGAGAGAGACAGAGAGATGGATACTCACGCGAGGTTAAATTCTATAAATTGCAAATGGAAATGAGATATTTTGGTCATTTTACATTATGACAGGATGATGTAACAACATTAAAAATTATTAATTAAAAAAATAATTTTTTACTAACTTTTCAAATAACTTCTTAAAAAAGTAACAAAAACTTGATTAAAAGTTAAAAAATCACTCTTAACCTCCTCAAAATAATCCATAATAAACGGCTAATAAGTTATATTATTGTACATTTATTGCCTTATCTTAGAGATATTTATTATTAAATTTAAAGTGGTTCGTACATTATTAAATTTAAAGTGGTTTGTACGTTTTTATAAAAATACGTGCCATCGAAACAAATTTCTTAGATTTCGCGCTAGCAATTTCACTAATCAATTCCACATTGGTATGGAGATATTATCCATTGCTGGAATTTTTTTTTAAAAATATTACATATTAATTAAAAAAATTTATAATTTTAATTATTAATATTTATATAATTTACCACTTATTTCTAATTATTTTATAGTTTACCCTTACAAGAAATTTCCCCTTGAATAATCTTGTTTGGCCCATTAAGGTCTCGTTTGGGAACCTCCATTTTAGTCAAAAAGTCAAAAAGTTATTAAATTAATCAAAAAGCCAACAACTCATATCAAAAAATCAAAGATTCTCTTTTCTCTCTACTTTTTACACATCTTTTCGTAAAAAGTCAAAAAGTCATCCCAAACATACTAATTTTTTTTAGCTCATATTTTAGTCAAATAGTCAAAAAATTACTAAATTAACCTGTTCCCAAACGGAGCCTAAGACCTATCAATTGCAGTAGTGATGAGAACACTTGCTGCCTTACATAAATGAATTCTTTTGTTTTTATGGTAATCTTGTTGAGTACATAAAATGGACTTCTTTGTTTTAGAAATAATTTAAATAAGTTTTAAAAATTATTTGTCTACAAATAGTACTTTTTATTATTATGCGAGCACAAGTCAGAACAAATAAGAGTTGTTTCAGACAAATACTCTTACTTGCGCTGGAGGCTGATTCATATATATATATATATATATATATCTATATCTATATTATATATTAAGCAAAAGGGGGTTTTAACCCACAAGTCTTGGAGCTCTAATATCCCAATCCTATTTTTCTAATTTTTTGATTTAAAAAAAAAACCTCAACATTTATTGACTTCTCCCAACCCAACCTCAGCATTTATTGACTTCTCCCAACCCAGAATCCCTTTTGACTTCTCTCATAATTATTGCAACACCCTTTTCAATTTCTCCCATATACTATGGTTACACACAAAAATAAAAAATAAAAAGATAAGAATTTAGATATAGATCTGAAAAAGATATAACATCTAAATTTAAATTATGATTTACTAACATAATTATCTATTTTTTTGATAGATATCAATCAAAATTTTAAATAACTTAATGAGACAAATTAATTAATTTTCTAAAATTATTGACTTTTTAATTTATAAAATAGATTAAAAAAACTATTGACTAATTTATTTATTTAATAACAAAAATATTTCATAATCTCACAATCCTAATCTCTTTCATCGATTTAAAAAAATATATATTAAAACTTGTCTTCCTTCTTTCTTCCCAAAAAAAATAGATAATATTTTTCATGAAAGTTGCAGATATCTATCTATATCTTATATATTATATTATAACATAAAAAAAAAGAACCAAAATCAGATATACAAATAGATAAAATTAATAAATTTGTTTTTTATTTATTTAGTTAAAATCTTTCTTTTGCATCTCAAAATCCAATTTTAAATTTTAAAAATCTTTAAAGTTTATCTAAACAAATTTAATTTGAAAATATGTCCCATCATTATACTTTAAATCAATAAAACTTAAATGTCTATCACATATCTTACTCACATCATAACTTACTTAAATAATAATAATTAAAAACAAATAGAAGCCACAACTAAATTAAATTAAATTAAAAAAAATAGAACCCCACAACTCTATCTTAAATAAATTAAAAAAAAAACCCCGAATAGAAACCACATAAAAATAAAAAAGATAAGAATTTAGATATGGATCAAAAAAAAAAAATGACAATATCTAAATTTGAATTATGATTTAGTAATATAATATCTATGTTTCTTATGTATATATCAAAATTTTAAATCACCTAATAAGACAAATTAATCAATTTTCAAGTCTTATTTAAAAACTAATTTGATTTGTCATCCCAACTCTTAAACTTTGTGTGCACTGGCAAAAGAGCTAACGGATTGGGTTAGGTGAGGTTTAAATTGTTGAAAGTAATATTCTCCCACACTATAAATTTATTTATTTTTTAATTTTATTTTTTCCCTGTGTGATTCTCTTTTTCTATTGTTAGCTTGGTTTTGGTTTTGGTTTTGGTTTTGGTTTCAGTTTTAGTGAGATTTATATGTTTGTTTACAGGTATGCATGGTAAAGAAGAATTATTAGTGATTATGGTTGCAATCAAAGTATCTATGTCCATTCCATACTAAGGATTTTTATCAGATTTTGTTTTCTTCAATGAAGACCATAAAATTGAAATAAAAAAAATGGGCATCAAATTTTTTATTTTATAAAAAATGTGAATTTATTGAGAATTCAAAATTTTACTATAACATTAGATTTTTTCATAACTAGGTAAATTTAAAACTTTTAAATATTATTGTATTTTTTATTTTTATCCTCTTTCTATCCCATTAGACCATTGCTGCTATTTGTTAGTTTGTTAATTATAATTCAATTAATTGAAAATGAAAGTTGTATATAATAGCATAATATATAGAGATAATCTCTAAATATAATTTCTATTTTTTTATGGGATTAAAATAGTCCATCTTAATAGTATATAGAAGAGTTATATGGTTTCTTTATCTCTAAAAAACCTAATTTTTTTTTTACTTTTTAGTTTTTTAAATTGAAACATAAATTATTTATGTCCATAAAACAAAACTGATAAACACATATAAAAAAGCTACACATTTTTTTTTTCATTTTTTCATTTTTTAATATGTAAGATATTTACAAATGAAAAATGTTTGACATCTTAAATTTTTTTTCATAATCCAACTTATAATGATATAGTCATAAGTGTCAATTTTTATACAAATATGAGAAGAGAATTAATTAAATTATACATTTCAACCAATCACATACTCAAACTTTGATTATTTCAAGATGTTATTTCACTATAATTCTAATTAAGAGAATTTTCAACCCTTAATATATTTTTTTTAATCAAATTATAATTTGATAAAAATTTAAAAAGATGAAACGTTGAAAATTATTGTTTTTTCATCAAAATTGGTGAAAAGAAAAAAAATTGGGCTAAGAATGAAAATTCTTTTAAAAATTGATAAAAATTTAATGAAAAAGTTAAAGTAATTCATATCAAATCAAAATTTTTATTCAAATTTAAAATCCAATTAGATAAAAAAGAAAAGAAAAGAAAATGATGAAAGTTTGAAAATATTTTAAAACTTTCTTATTCATAAAGACTAGAAATTCGTGTATGTATTATATTTATATTGTATTTTTAGTTATAAATTGAAATAAAAAAAAAATGTAGCTTAAATTATTGGATTAATAATAAAAACATCATATTAATTATTGTTAAATATCACTTCACTTAATATTTAATAA